GTGATTTTTTTCGTGACATTTCTGAAATCGATACGTCTCGTCGACTCCTCGAGGTTGTTCTCTCGATTGGAACGGTCTCTTTACATATATATATATATATATAGACATATATGTATATATGTATGTATATACGTATCTGTGGCTGTAAGGAAAAACCTCGCATGTCATAATTTCAATAAATTTGAGTTTATGCAATTAATTGGTCAGCGGAATATAGGATTCATATGTATATTTGTCAGAGGAAGAAAAAAAAATGCATAGAGATACATTTGCATTTATATCGTTGAAAAAAATAAAAAAGATAAATAAAAAAGAAAAGAAGAAAAAAAAAGAGAGACCAACAACAGCAAAAATAAAAAAATAAGGAAACATTTCTAATAATAATAATAACAATAATAATAATAATAATAATAATAATAATAATAACAATAATAATAATAATAATAATAATAATAATAATAATAATAATAATAATAGTGATAATGTAATATTAACGCGTTCAAAAGTTTATAAACGATATAATGATTTTATAAACAATATATGATTATATCGAAGCTTTAATTCTTAAGCGTTCGACTTATATCGGAATCGAAGTTATCTACAATTTCATATTTTCTACGTTTCATTGAATAAATGAATATTCGTGTGTGGACGTACGAGTGGGTGTTCGTGTATATGAATTAACAAGAAAAAAAGGGAACAAATTTTTTTTATAACATTCCGTTCTCTTTTGTGAACTCTTGTGTCGATCTTTGTGCTACATTGACTTTTTTTTTTTATCTCTCCTCTCCGTTTTTCCTCCAACCCTCTCTCTCTCTCTCTTTCGCTCTCTCAACTTTCTGCATTCCGCAACAAGACGAGACGAGACGAGACCCGACGCGCCTCGTTAGACTTGACACGTATTACTTTGCATTCTCATAAACGTTTTACCCCGGCCTACCTTTCCCAATAAATGCGATGATTCTGTTATACTAAATGAAACGTTTCATTTACATTTAATATTAACAACAGATAAAAAAAAAATATATATATATATATATATATATATGTATATATATATATATATATATATTGGCCGAACGATATTTCATTTTTATTTCATAATAAATTCGAGAAAATTTAATAACTTATTATCATTAATTCATAACAGAGAAAACATAACATTAATCATTTCATGTTAATTAAAATTATTAACTAGTTGTTGCCAAAGGTTGTTAAATACTGTATTTAAAAAAAAAAAAAAGGGAAAAGAGAAAAAGATAAAAAAAAAAACAGCATTAATACATTGGGGTCACTTCTTTTAATCGAATAATATACCTTTCGTTCGTTTCTTCGAATACAAGTGATGCATTCCAAGTATCCCTAAATGTTTGCTTTACCTTGACTTCGAGATTACTACACTATCCGTCTAACATAAAATATAAACTACCTCGTGGCGAGTCTCGATTGACTACAAAGTAACTTACAAATGCGTTCACTTTCGTTTCAATGTGAACGACAAATTTTACGAAATTTCAAAAATAATTGTAACTCGAATCACATCTTATTATATAACTGTATAAGATCTTGATTAATGTTAATTGAAATATTTGAAAATGTAATTTAAAAATATTTTCATTAATATTTTTTAATAAATCTATTTAAACCTTCGTAGAAATTTCAATAATAATCGATGGATAAATGCAATATATATATATATATATATATATATATATATATATAATAAAATAACGAATGGTACAAGGTTAAAAGTAATAATGTAACAAAAAGAAAAAAAAAACAGACACATGATTATTACTCGTAAATGTATATATGTGCATAAATTAGTAAGAAAAAAAAAATGAGGAAAAAGTACAAAAAGATCTTGTTTTCGTTGCAAGATCCTGAAGCTCGAAAGGACTGACAAAAAAAAAAAGAACAGAAAAAAAAAAATATATATATATATAAGGATCGATAAAATTAACGAGCGTATAAATATAGCAAAATCATGTCACGATACTCAACGTACCACCTTAGCTCATGCGTTTCATTGACTCTTGAATGTCGTTGAACGCACGACCCTCGAATTCGGACTGTGACTGGAATGGTAAAAAGAATATAGAATAGAAAGACTGGCATAACGAAAATTCAAAAGACAACCAATGAAATACGACTGAGGTCGTATATAACATTTACGTTATACGATTCTCTACTCAGAATTTAAATTTCTACCAAAGAAAAACATCGGCTCGTTCATTTGGTTACAAATAAGAATCGTAAATAAAAACTCGTCACATTCTACGAATCTTCAAATATTTGCGATAGAAACAAATATGTACATAGGTGTGTGTGTGTGTGCGTGTGTGTAAGTACATACATACGTGTGTATGCGTATACGTATGTATATATACATATATGTGTATGTTTGTACATGTATGCATGTATGCACTGTATATATTATCAGATATACACGTCAATGGTAAAAAAAATATGAATCAAGAAAATTTCAAATCTCTTTCAATACTTCAGATATATTCTTTCAAAACGATGTAGATTTACTATTAAGTCATTCGAGAATGATCGAGAGAGCTCATAACACGTGACTCTAACCACGTGCCAATTTGTTACGTAGGATTTCATCGGCCATATGTTAGTCGATCATTTTCACTGCTACAGAAGAAATCATGAATTTCTATTCGCAATCCTTTACAATATTAATACTGTTTCTAAATATTAATAACAATTTTTTATAACGCTTAATCGTTCTGATATGTATTTATTTATGTTATATGCTAATAAATAAAATTTTCTTTACGACCTACAATAATAATAATAATTATTATTATTATTATTATTATTATTATTATTATTATTATTATTATTATTATTATTATTATTATTATTATCATTATTATTACAAATAATAATAAATAATTATAAATAATAATAATTATTATTTATTAATATTATTTATAATTATTATTTATAATAATAATAATAATTATTATTATTATTATTATAATGTTCGTTTAAGTGTGTCCCGGCGTTTCATTGATAAATCTATTCATATGTTAACTATTGTACGTACATATTATTGATATAAGAGTTTACTACTACTATATCATGTATTATTAAAATTATTGCCTTTTGAATTTTGATATGTATATACGTATGTATGTATGTATGTATGTATGTATGTATGTATGTATGTATGTATGTATGTTGCGCTATAAACCGAGCTGAATTAAATCCTTTATGAACAAAAGTCGGATGATACCAATGATATTATTATCACTTCCTTTCCATTGTCATATTCTCTACATTTCTATATTCAATTGATCATATCTTTTTCTCTATTTTTGTTTCCATATATTGTTAATACATTTTTATCATATGATATTGATACATATATTCACTTTTCATCTCGTAATATAATGGCCGCAATCTGTTATAAATGGTATCGTTATATTTCTCTCTATCGCTCTATCCAAGTATAGTTTGTTGTTTTCACTTTCAATTATTATTTATGGTCTATACTTATAGTATGATGCATTGTTCGAATTTAAATTTTATCTTTCCACTATTGTCTTGTAGTTATTGTTATTATTATTGTTATTATTATTATTATTATTATTATTATTATTATTATTATTATTATTATAATTATTATTATTATAATTATTATTATTATTATTATTATTATTATTATTATTATCAATATCATTGACGCATGAACGCGATCATTCATGAATTTCTAAACATTATCGTCGCTTAAATTTGCCATCATTGAAATGATTTTACTTTCACGAAAGGGTCGTAAGAAGGAAGGACGCCACATCGTTAGCGTTTCGCTTTTAGGTGAAAGCGCCTGCTCGAAGTATATACCTACGTCATACGATCTCGTTTAGAGACATACCGGAAGAGAAAGAACGATACAAATCCGCCGTAGCTCATATTTCACGAATTTCCTGCGAAGATATAAAGATAGAAATAAATGGAATAATACAATACAAAACAAGACAAACACAAAACAAAACCAAAAAAAAAAAGAAACATGGCCTTTAAAAGGACAACAAATTTATAATCCTTCCTCCCATATATGTAGATTTATCTGAATTCAAAGTAAATCATTGATAGTGCAGCTGTTAGCGTTGCTTCGAAATTAACTTTATCAAATATTTCGAACGAAATATCAATGATCGTATTAATCGATTAATAATAATAATAATAATAATAATAATAATAATAATAATAATAATAATAATAATAATAATAATAATAATAATAATAATAATAATAATAATAAAGATATGGTATATTAAAGGATGTCACGATATCTCATTAATGATATATATATACATATGTATATATACACATGTATATATACATATATATATATATATATTTATAATTATGTACACGTTTGATCAGGTGTATTTGAAAGTACACGACGAAGCAATCCGAGCGATAACGAGCACCGCTTCGGTGTCTCATGGCTGCAGTGTAACAAAACGAGACGATGGAAACGGAAACGGTATGGAGAACCGTCGAGCGTACGCACGCGAGCGTGCGAGAACGACCGAATGAGTGTCAGAGAGAAAGAAAGAGAAATAGGGAGAGGGAGCGAGTAAGATAGATAGAAAGAGATAGAAAGGGAAAGAGAGAGAGAGTAAGAGAGAGAGAGAGAAAGAGAGAGTAAGAGAGAGAGAGAGAGAGAGTAAGAGAGAGCGAGTAAGATGGATAGATAGAAAGAGATGGACAGAAGGAGAAGGATAGAGAGAGAGAGAGAGAGAGAGAGAGGAGAGAAAGAGAGAGAGGAGAGAAAGAGAGAGCAAGATAGAAAGAGAAAGAATGAGAGGGAGCAAGTAAGATAGATAGATAGAAAGAGATGGATAGAGAGAGAAAGAGAAAGAGAGAGAGAGAGAGAAAGAGAGAGAGAAAGGGAACAAGTAAGATAGATAGAAAGAGAGAGAGAGAGAGAGAGAGAGAGTAAGGGAAAAAGAGAAAGGTATGATAATTACCAAGGAGTCGTCCCCATTGTCAGCGCTCATAGCCTGTCGCTAGCGCGAGGGAATCCGTACTCCTCCTGGTCTTCGTCGTCGTCGTCGTCGTTGCTGTTTTTTCTCCTCTTCTTCGCCTGACTTCCGAAAAAACGATGAGGCCCGACGTAATCTCGTCATTCTGCGATTACGGCGACGTATAAGAATAACGCGGGAACGACGTAGCCTATGGTCAACAATGGGAATAACCTTTCGAGGGGCGCCTCGCACCTGTCATTTGGCATGGCAATGAGAGAGAGAGAGAGAAGCTTGCAGTCTTTCTCTCTCTCTCTTTCTCTTTCTCTCTCTCTCTCTCTTTCTATCCTTTATTTTTTCCTTCCGTTGCTGTATCCCCTTCTTTCCGTTGGACGTCAAAGAGGAGAGACTAGAACAGTTTCCGTATAAAAGACAAAGAGAGAAAGAAAAAGAGAGAGAGAGAGAGAGAGAGAAAGAGACGCCGAATGAAAGAAAGAGAGAAAGAGAGAGAGAGAGAGAGAGGACACTGACACACGAAACGTCAACGGCACTTGCACGCCGCGCACACTAAATAAGCACTATTTATAAAAACACCACTAACTTAGCCACAATTGGCTTATGCACTTTCCAAATTAATCGTAAAAGTATTATCCAATATCTCATGCCCTACCAGATTCTATCTATTATCGTGATATTGTCCCTCTAACGTTAAAGAACGTTACACGAATTATTCTTACTCCTTCTTGCTAGATGCGTGCTTGTGCCCCTTTATGATGGCTTCTGTCGTTCCCGTTGTTCCTAACGAAATACGAAAGTACGAAACGAACGTACAAACCTCCTCGATCGGCTCACGGACAAACGCTACCTAGCTAACTTCCACCAGACGTTCTCGGCGACACGAGAAACATACCGCCACCACAATACCACTACTCACTACTACTACTGCCACCATTACCACCACCAACTGGTGAGTATTTCCCTCCTACCCTTTCCCCCACCTCATCGTCCTTCTCCATCACCTCCTTCCTCCTTTACGGTTTACAATCCACTCCTCACAGCTATAACATACGTTATGACTACTGGAAAGACGCGGAGTTATACCTTCCCTAGCCCTCCCGTACCCCCTCGTCACCCTTTCCAGCAACCAATCTCTTTACCCCTTCCTTACTCTTATTCTTCGAATCCTTCCAATACTTCCGTACGATTCACTTTGCTAAGACTAATCGTTCTTCTAATCAAACCGTTTTGTTTACTACACAAATATACCGTTATAAATGAAGCAAATAAAATGGAAATAATGAACTTTTAACAAGGGAGCAATCGTGAAAGAAAACCGATACAATCGACCGTACGTACTTACTACGTTCCCGCTATGGCGCCATTTTGTGCCGATGGCAGCGCGCGCACCTACTTTCAACAGAATGGCGGCAACTTCAAAATCAAGATTAATATACTTTCTTTTTTTTTCTATCGACCCCTTTGAATGTGAGAAAAAAAGGAAATAAAAAAGAAAAAAAAAGGACATTAAAAATGGTATACCTGTTTTTATCTCTGCATCGATATTCTTTCTTTCATCCTTTCGTTCATAATCGCTTCTCCTTTGATTAGCCTCACTTTACAATGTCGAAAGAGAGAGAGAGAGAGAGAGAAAGAGAAAAAGAGAGAAAAAGAGAAAAAAGGCTACCACATAAAAAGAGAAAAACGTGTCGTTCATAATGATGAAATTTACATTACATGCTTGGTATGCGTGTGTATATGTGTGTGCACGTGTGCGCGCGTGCACACGGAATTATTACAAAAAGTTACAACGGGAACGAAGGTATAACAATTAAATGGAATTGCAGTCTTGAATTGTGCGTGATTCTGATTGTTTCTGAACCAAAAAAGAAAAATTAAAAAAAAAAAAAGAAAACACTTAATGATAAATTTTATCATTTTCGTTTACGAAGGAATAATCAATTATTACATAGAATTGGTCGTTCTCGCTACAACGATCTTATAATTTTCCTTTTTTTTTTTTTAAATAACGTTTAAATAAAGCGTTGAACATGCATTTTGACGATGATATGATATTTATACAAAAGGTAAGAGAAAGAGAAATGCAGAGGAGAGAAAGAGAAAAGAGAGAGGAGAGAGAGAGAGAAAGAGAGAGAGAGAGAAACACAAGGAATGGGAATGATATAGACGCGTACACAAAAAGACAATACGTTAGACGAGAGACGAGAGACTTTTTCACAACATTTAATAAAACGCTATCAACTATGTATGCCTTTTTTTTTTTTTTACTCAAATAATCTAAAAGTTACTTACATATGTGCTTATATGTATATTTATATGCCATACGGAAGTGTCACATCCCACATAACGCGTATAAACGACGACGTTTCTCGCTTCTCCTTCTTTATACAGATAACACGTCTTTTTCAATGACGGACTTTTTTCTTTTCTTTTTTTTTCGATTTTTTCTTTCTTTTTTTTTTTTCTTTCTTTCTTTCTTTCTTTTAAACGCTCATTCAAAATACACGAATTATATTAATCATTTAGGCACCGATCAATGTGAACAAACATATAAAGAATGAGGGCAGGAATAAAGGAAAATATTCTTAATAGAAGGAGTTTGGGAGTTGACACGTCCACACAATAAGTATGTATAAATTTAATACTAATCCTCATATATCATTGTTTTCTTACGTAGAATTGTTTTGAATTAATTGTGGGTATTAGCGATCAACGTCCCGGGATGCTGAAAAGGTCTGTGTCGGAAAATCTACTGGGTGATTAAGAATACATGTGACATGTGCCGCAAGAAAAAAGAAAAAGAAAAAAGAATAAAAGAAAAAAAGAAAAAGAAAAAAAAAAACCAGAGAGAAAAAAAATATCACGACAATGTATATATAAATACAGCACGAGTTTCATTACATTTTCTTTTCTCTTTCTGTTTGTATCTTTTCTTTTTGCATGTTTTTTTAACGTTTCAATCATGAAATTGTTTCATACTTGTCGGAGAAGTTAATATTGTTATTCTAAGGCCTTCGTTCTCCATGAGAATTTTTTCTTTTTCCTTTTTTTTTTTTGTCCCCTTATTAAATATGAAACGCAAAACAAAAGGATATTGCAATTTCAAATGAAGTACGAGAGAAGAAAATTCGATTTTAGACATCATAAGTTAACGCTTAATTTTTTTTTTCTTTTTTCTTTTCTTTTCTTTTTTTTTTTTTTTTTCTTTTTTTTTTGCAAACGACGACATGCGCGTGCCGTTTTTTATGTCAGCACCATGCGGCTTTTTCTTCTTGGCGTTATTATTACAAATTGGCCGTTCGTTATTTATTTTCAAACGTTTGTGCTTTTCGTTTAATAAACGTGGACACGGTACAAGGAAAAGATGTATATATCTTCTATTACCGAAGAACAGGTGTAAATCGACGATCGAAAAAAGACCATTTTTCAAATGCGATCTATCTCGATCCCACATATAAAAGTTCCGCGATAATATATCTCTTATAACCTATGACCTTTGTGTGTGTGCAAAACTGCATCATACGCACGAGTATATCACAATCGCTCACGTTGTCGTATTTCGTGTGTAACCGAGAATATGCATATACATTATACGCATATATTTTTTCATACCATTTTTATATAAATTTGTTAAATTCAATTTGTGTGCGGATTTTTTTCTTCTTTCTTTTTCCCTTTTTTTTTGTTTTGTTTTTTAGTGCGATCGAAAAATATAACAAACGAATAAACAAACAAACAAACGAACAAACAAACGAACAAACAAACAAAATAAGAAATTTATATTAATGCTTTGCATTTGCTTTTCTTATATAATCCAAATGTATCCCTTTCAAAAAGAGACATACGATTTTCATTCTGAGCTACGTTTACAAGTATTTTTATAACGCTAGTTATTACAAACCGCATTTCTAAGCTGATCCCATGTTGTTTCTTGGTCACAACCACGTTGATTACCTACTGTTCACTTTGGTAGCATACTCGCCATTTTTTTCACACATACGCACACATACATACATACATACATACATACATATATACGTGTGTGTATATACACATACATATATATATATACATATATATATTTTTCGTTCTTGTTTTTTTGCTTTCCTTTCTTTCTTTCTATCTTTCTTTCTTTCTTTCTTTCTTCCTTTCTTTCTTTTTTTTTATCTATCTCATTTCTTTTCTTTTCTTTTCTTCTTTTATTATTATTACTTTCTTTTCTTTTTTTTTTTGTTTCTTCTTTTTTTTTTCTTTTTTTTTTCAAAAGTGTCTACTCTCCACAAAGATTTTCGACGGAGACCTTCCTTTTGAATAATCCTTCGGCGAATTCGCACGACCCCGGATTCTCTAAGCATTCTTCGACATCGTATTTCTTCCGATGTGTCTATCATCCTCTCTCGATCTCGAAGAAGCCTCGGGGAGTTTTAGTGCGAGGTGGGGTGATGTGAGTGGGGGAGGTTTCGATATAAACTATTCAAGAAGGACGTTCCAAGTATTCCATCCCGGGCGGACGCATATGTAGCCGCAATATTTTTTTCTAACGATATCCATGGGACTCATCGTACATCGCCAGTGATTCTTAACGAAAGAATATCGTTCTTTCGAAAAATCACGAACAACAATAAAATCGGATTTATCTAATCGCACAGAAGTAACGGAACTATCAAAGTTCCAACATCCTTCTTCCTCTATCGAGAAAGTTTCTTCGATTGAATCGAAACTCTTCGACGGATTATTAAACTCTTGAGAATTATATATATATATATATATATATATATATATATATATATATGTGTATATGTATATATATATAAAATCACCAAGTGCAAATGTCGCAACACACGGGACAAGGACGTGTGTCATATCATATCACCGTTGGACGACACTCATTCGTATTAATGAGGATGATTTGATCTAAGCGGATACCGTCTCCACCATAGATTTTTTAATGATCTCTCCAAAATTTTCATCGCATTCCTCCGTACTTTCCGATTGTTGCTCGTTCGTAGTTTGATCCTTATCTCCTTCTTTATTTGCATTTCCATGATAAGTACCATGCGCTTGCGGCTCTATCTCGCCATAATACGAATACCTACCGGATAGCAATTCCGAGAACGGCTCTAGCTTACCTATCTGCTGAACTCCACCGTTCATCGGCTGCACAGAATTCAAATTTGTATATTGCGATCCGGTCGATTCGTCTTGCGCGAAGTTAGCCTCGTAATTGGAAGAATGTTGCCCAGGATGTACCTGGCAACTGTCCTGCACAGATGTGCCATCTTGCCCATAGACCGCGTAATGCGAGAAACCTGGGCTTCCGGGCACCGGTTGAAATTGCGGCTGAAATTGAACCCTAGACGTGGAAGGAAGATTTGTATAAGCCTGATAATCCTGATAAGCGGTCTGTTGAAAATTCATATTTGCACCTGCTGTTTGGCCCGAAAATGTTTGAAAAGCTTGACTAAATTCGGGATGCAATTTTCTTTGGCCACTCTGCGTACCATCGACCGTGTCTTCGTTCGGATAACAATCGTCTCTTATAGCATAAAGATCTAAACTATCTTCTCGCGTACCAGGTACTTCTGGTTGACAATTCGAACTGCCATTGCCGGCATCATGATTTTCATAGTGTAACGTTGTAAAACCACCACCGGTTATACACGCTTCCGTATTTGAATTGTCTATTAGGGAACCCAAATTGATATCTCGCAATGGTCCGCTTTTGTTATTCTGATTGTCGGTGCCCTCGTGATCAGTTCCTTCTTCTTCGCGTTGCTTCTTCTCTAACTCGAGCCGCATCAACGTGTGTATGAAGTGTGTCCGCACTCGTACCGGATTAAATTCTATCCTACCGGAGCTGTTGGCACAACCGTCCCGGGTACAACCGCAAGGGAAACCGGCACGATCGACCTAAAGTACACGCGAGTAAAAACAAATTAGAAAGATCGAAGAAAAA